TCCATTCGCCAAATCAAAAGTTGTGAAATATTTTGCTCTACCCAAGGTATCCAATACATCGTTAATTATCTGTAAAGGGTATCTGTCCTTGATTACTGTCTCGTTTAGTCTTATAGTCCACCACCTTTCTCCATTTCGTCTCCTGAGGCATATTTCTTTTTGGGAACCAGCACTCTATGGCGAGTGGCTATGTCTTATAATCTTCTGATCTAGTTCTCCAGCTGTCTTCTCACCTCTTGTCTTGTACGTTCTGGCGTACACCGGTATGTCATCCTTCGTTCGAATTTGGTGCTTGACCACGTTAGTGAAAGACAAATGGTACCCTTCTTTATGAAATACCTTTGGGTACTTCCTACAAACTCCTTGAAGCCCTTGAAGCTTCACGCTATTTAAATGTTCAGTCCTGATTTTGTGGAACAGTATGTTTTTATCCCCGTTTTGAATTCGGCAACTTTTAACGAACCGTCTAAAAACAAGTCCTGGTCTGTCTCCGCATAATGTGTTACCTAAATCAGGCTCTGTCCAGCCACTGCCCTGTAAATACCTTCTGAACTGATCATATCCTCCTTTACTGTTGTTTTGCATCTCATCTTTCCATCTAGATGTCCTTCTATCAAAATTTTATACTATTGAGTGATACTTTTAATGGCTAATGGATTCCTTATGTGTCAATTAACATATTGATTATTTTGTCTGGAGTGATCCTGATCATTTTATAAGGTAGGATTAAGTGACCCCCCTAACCCCAAATATCCTGATGGTTGTTCGAGGCTGATTGCGAAAAATTTGCATCATCCTCTTGGATTTTATGCAACTGACCACTCCCTTCTGCGTCTCCAGCCGCCTGTATTGCTCATTGACCCTCTCTGGGTTTCTTGCTGTTATAATTGTGGCTATACCACTCTCTGTCCCGATTATTTTGACCATAACTCCACCCAGTATTCTTGTTATGGTAGTTACGATATAGTCTTGAATAATGAGGATTTTCTCCTTGATTAAAATTGTCTGCCCGGAATGGGTTACCCATCATTGGATACGGAAACCCAAATCCATTCCATCCACCCATACTGGGCATCGCAAACGGCATTGGAAATTGCGGCTGGGTATTTCCTGCCCACCGACACTAAGACCAAGTGCCAGGCTGCGACTCCGTTGTCGGACTATCCATTTTTTGTCCCATTTCTATATTCGGCACCCCCATGTTTCTAATAGTAACCCCTATTGGCCCTTTTAAGGCTGATACAAATGCGTTCAACGCCATTTCCTCTTACCACTCAGTTTTCCCACTCCTCAATAAAATTGCTGGCTCGCTAAACTTGGCCGGACTCATCAGGGCTTTCTTCAATTTTATAACTTTGGTGTACGAGACATCCAACTCCAATTTCTTAATGTGCGTTAATTAGATCCTGTTCGGATCTCTTATCCCCAAAATGGGTAATCATTTTTATTTGTATCTGATTCCAATTTAATAGCTCTGACTTATCTAAGTCGAGGACTTTATCTGCTACCTACCGACTGCGTCAGTTTCTGTTGCTTGTTAAAACATAAGTGAGTTTATTAATAATTCTTTTCTTGCTGGTTTACATTATTTGCCTAGCAGATTGGCTGCAATTGGAGTGGATGTGTATGTAGAGCCAGAGTCCGGAGTGTCTCCGATGTTTGTGCTTTGTTGCCACAAGCATTCCTCTAGCTGCTCGGCTGCCGAAGGGGTTTCGGTGGGGGGCCTTCATTCCTGGGCCCAGGCGTTGAAACCGACTCCAGGATCCGACAGAACTCCCCCAGCGGAAGGCTTGGCGCTAGGAAGCAGCTATAGATCCATCCATCGGCTGCTAACGCTGGACGTCAGCCGGTGGCTGTCGCCACAAAGCCAAAGGGCTGCCTTACCGGTACAGTCCTTTGCCCACTCCGATCCCTCCCTTGCCTTATTGGTCCGCTGAGAATAGCAAAATCCGCTGCTAACTGACGCACCGTCTGCAACAGCAAGTCCTGCTCCGCCCAGCAGCGATTCATTTAAAGCTGAATCAGCTGCATGTTGTCCTTGGCCAGCACCGCCGTTTCTGACCAGGATGGCTCCCGGGTTGATGGTTGCCCACTCTCGAACCAGATCCTCGGCTTGGCGGGCTCGCAGGCTCTTTGCTGTATATGGCTGCCTTGTGCCGTGCTTCGCAGCCCACTTCACTTAGTGCAGCAGCCCCTCCTGTCCACCAGGCTCTTGCACCTGATGGGGAGGAGGCCGAATTCTAAGCATCTCAAGACCGCACTCTACATCTGGTCCATCCTATATGGGCCTTTCCATTATTACCTTTTAAGCCATTGAGCATGGCAGACTGATAATCGCCGTTTTTGACTCCGCGTACCCGGGGCGGAGGCTCCGGACCATAACCGCTCCTCCCCAGGGCTGGTACTGCTTAGTAATGGCGGCGCGAATATCGTTTTCCGTCGCGATAGCATCCAGATTCCGAATCTCGAAGACGCTGACTTTCCACCTCCACCACCTGCCACCTCCCCAAGGACCCGAGATGTACTGTCTCTCATGGACAGGTTGTTTTGGAAAATGTGTTAGGGCCTCCAGAGTTCTTACCCTAACCGTGGGGTTTCCAACGGGTGTATTTTCACTCTTGTGGCTGCCACCTGGAGAAATTATATTGTACTCAGACACTTCAAATTTATGTGCATTGTCCCCAATGCTAGACTGCCGGCCACTATGGCTCAGACGCAGGTCAGGTAACCGTCCATTATGGGTCATACGCTACCTGGGTTTGGTTTTGAGTGCAGCTAGTGCCTGCCGCCAGGCTTGTTCTTATGTCTGCCACTATGGTGCAGATTCAGATCACGCAGCCGCCCATTATGAGACAGACGCTACAATGCGTGTAGAACAGATGGATGCACATATGCCAAGAATTTATGTACAACGGGTGGACAGAGAACGGCGAGAATGTCAGCGGTGCATACAAAGCAGAGACAACATTTTGCGATGGAATATCGAGAGGAGGGTTAATTCCCAATTAACACAAAAAAATCTTGCAGCTGCTGAAGACCGGCAGTGAGAAAGAAACGGGAGAAAACTGGTACTTGTCTTTTAACGAAAAAACACCGGGGGGTTGCTGGTAAAGGGATGGAGATGAGAATTCCGGAATGATATCCGTATCCGGCTCGAGGGACCAATGTTCTGGAGGTGGGCGATCTTTCCGCTAAAAAATCCTAGAAAAACTTCCCACGGCGCTATAGAAAACCATTGGGGTTAGAGAAAACCGTCGGGGGCGTCGTGGCGTAACTCCAAGTGAATGCACGTCAGCTTTATTAGGCCGCATACAAGTAATTGACCTAAGCCTAAACTTTGAGCTGCGGAGCGTGAAAGCACACAAGGAGGCGAGCGCGGAGGCACATAAGGGATGAGCGCGGGGGCACATGAGGGATGAGCGCGGGGGCACATGAGGGATGAGCGCGAGCTGACTTGAACTTACAGATTTTCATTTACAGTTTTACATTCACAGCTTTACATTTTTATCTACATCTGCTGGTCCTTTCTATGCTAACTCTAACATATAGTCGAATTTCCGAAATAATACAAAATGGCCATGTCTCACAATAGATGAAAATGTGTTGAAAAGCAGCGCAGTTATGACTTTTTTCTACAAATTCTCCGATTGGTTTTATTGTAGCTATTTAATGGTGGTTAGAATAGTCAGAAGACTATCTGCAGTTTCTTTCACATAGCTTCAAAAATGACGGACTAGTTTGCATTGAAACGAACAGAGGGACAGACAGACGGACATGGTTAGATCGACTCGGCTGGTGATGCTTATCAAGAATATTTATACTTTATAGGGTTGGAAATATCTCCTGTAGTGCGTTGCAAAATTCAGACTAAAAGGTTGAAAATATAGATCTTTACTATTTTTCTATAGTTAAGTAGCCAGTTAAGGTTTTACCGTGTGCGAAATAAATAAATACTAATTTTAATTTACTTTATATTACAGCCGTAAAATCGGAACTATTAGCTGTATACATAGGTAAATGTAACGAAAGTTACAGAGACATTACTTCGGTTTTTTTAACATTTATATTTATAATTAAATTAGATATTTCAATCCTCAGATCTAGTTATTTTATACTATTTTGAAATCTTTTAAATTTGTTGATTAATAATTCATATGTATAAAGAATTTATATGTCTCCTGTTAGTTTCTCTTTTCATTTGACCAATATCAATCAAATAGTAATGATCTAGTTACAAGCTTCAAACATTGGCGTGCCGAAGTTAGCGTCGTTTTATCTAGTTTATTACAGCATTTACAATCTAAAGAGTGAGCAGCACTTCTGGAAGTCCTCAAGAGAGAGCAGTTCTCTCCATTAAACTACATGTATATGTAGTTATAAGTAAACGAACTAATAATTTTTAACTTCATTGATATTTTTATTGTGATTTTTATATAATGTATAACCGAAATTTTTCGTTTTCGGTGGGAATGCTTTAATGAAAGCAAAACCGTAATAAGATTATAACTTCCTATAATGAATATAACACAGGTATTTTTTCCTTCATGAAATAGTTTTTGTTATGTAGGCATTTGTTTTTTTTTCGATCGGATATGCACACAAGCAGCAAAAATAGGACGTTTAGCCTTTTACATACATACATATATATGTACATCATATGCATCTTTTAGTACAATTCTCTGTTCTGTTCCTATGTCAAGACATCAGAGATTACGATAATTACATTAAGACGTTGTCCCTGAAATATATGCTACCGCGCGAAACACACTCGACTTCAGTTTGTAATCGGAAAATATATCTGCATACATTTTCCACATAACGCATACGCATTATTATGTATATATGACGACAAGATGCATACTTTATATATGAGTTTTAAATCCACACACATATTATATATCTTGCTGAGAATTTCTAAATTCCCATTTTAAGAATCAAGAGTCAAACCACGTTTACTTAAATAGGAAGGTAATGCTTGCTTGTTCTTAAGTAGTAGACTATTTTTGACAGCTTTTGTTTTTTATATCTTTGATTAAATGTTAACTTACACAGATACAATTTTTTTTTTTAGATCTCTATGAACGCGATGAAGAAAAATAAATCTACGGGCATCATACAAAAAATCTAAGTCCATTTTCATCTATCAGTCGGATCCATATATATATATATTTACTTATTTATATATATATATATTTATATTTTTCTTCTTCACAACATGGTCTTTACTTTTGAATAATTTTGAAGCTTTTGTTGGGTGTGTGTTTTACAGTCACAGAATGCGGATATAGTCAAAGATGATAGTTTTAATCATCAACAATGGAATAAACGAGAGATACATAGTCAAAGTCTGCTTCTCGGCCGGATGGTCTTGTAGCTTGATTTTGGCTAGTTTGACGCCATTGCGAGTTATTGGTGGTGCTGCTGCTGTTAACTACATTGCTAGAAGCGTTTCCACTATTCTTTGAACCAGAAACGGTTGTTCCACTTCCTAAAGTTCCGCCGCCGTTATTTGCTGCATTAGCCGAACTCGTTACTGTGCTGGTTATACTTGACGCATTTGAAACATTCCCACCTCCACCGGCAGCAGAATTAAGTAGATTCGAATTGTTTACACTAGAGTTTGAATTAGAGTTGCTGACAGAGGCTCCGTTCCCACTGTTACTACTATTGCCATTGCCGCTGCCGGTGTTTCCATTTCCGTTACTGCTGGCGCTGCTGCTGTTGGATGGAGCTGAGGTGCTTGTATTACTTCCAACACTCGAGTTTACCGAGGAAGAAGTTCCTTGTTGTTGTGGTAAATGCTGCATTATGTTCTGCACTTCGTTATCGCTCGGAGATTCGGCAAATATAGTTGTGTTGGCCAAAACACAATTGTTCAAAGCCATTTGCGCCTTGTTGGCCTCCTCGCGCGTTGTATACTTACATAAAGCAATACCTTGGTTCAGATACAAATGAAAACTTACAAGGGGACCATGCTGCATACACAATGTACGTAATGTAGGGCCATCAATCTGAAAAAAAGACTATAAAGTTAGTAATTGTACGAAATAAACTTAGTTATAAAAAATATGTAAAATGTGTTAAACAAGTTATAAACAAACATAACAACAATGCTTAATCTTTGCTTGCATCTTCTACTACCAAAATAAGGCACATAATTTTAGTCTAGAACTGCAATTTGAAAATGTTATGTGTACTTATAAACTTTATACACCTTTTGTAATCATACCTGAGCTGTTAGATTTTTAAGTAGCAGCCAGCTGGAACCCCATGCAGATGTATTGCTACTAGCGGAAGTCCAACTTGTGTTTGATGTTTGGACAGCAGTCCCGCCGCCACTTCGCGGAGTCTGTTGTAGCCAGCCATTGGCCGTTGAAGAGGGCGTGGACGTAGTGCTTCCGCCACCGTTGCCTGATTTATTTGTAGCGACTGTCAATCCGGGCGGCGGACCCCGCGACGAAGATTTGTTTAAAGGGCTTGTCCAAAGCTCTGAGGTGGCAGCGCATTGTTGAGTGTTGTCAGACCAACTAAGATTAAACATATAAATATATAAATGTGAAGGGTAATAAGTCTCCTGCAGTACCATTTTTATCAGTAATGTATCAAAATATGAACACGTCGGCCTTGTTAATGAATCACCGATGACGTTCCATACAAAATTAATGATAAAAATATTGTGTCTCGGGCTCTTATACAAATTCATCAACAATAAATTCATAATTAATTAATTCATTTAAATGTTCTATAACGAGCCATCATCGAGTAGCTGTGCTTGTTTGTTCAAATATCAAACTTAAATAAAAAGTGCACTATTGAGAAATGGCGACTTATAAGAATGCAATTAAAGACGGTTTTGAACTGTGGTGGTGGAGAAGAAAGCATTGAAAATGTCTTTCGAATATTAGAAATAAAAGTGCAAGTAAAAGAAAAAGATCTTGCATGACGTTGATAAAACTTCCTTATGCTTATTTGTCCCCAAAATTGAAACATTTAACAAGGCTTCACCACTACACCGCTAGACAAAGTTTTGACCGACCCTAACAGTCTGCCGCCGATGCTGCCTTCAAACTTTTATGGAAATAGATGAGTTATAGGGTTAGATTTTATGGGCAAAAGAAAGGCATCTCATAATAGATTAATTACTTTAATTTTGTACTTGCCAGAAAAATCTTAAATCTCCTTTATCGAAAAAGTAAATGTTCAACAGCCCCATTTAAAAAATTCATCTAAATAAAAATATCTAACGCCTGTATTTAGTTTAGCATTTTTCCGTGATCCATACCATAAGTAAAAGGTTAAGGTTAAGTAAGGTTTAAGTAAAAACAAGAAAGGAAGCTAACTTCGGCACGCCGAAGTTTGTATACCCTTGCAGATATTATTTCATTGCATTTTACCTATACTTATTATGTTGAAAGTTTGACAGTTACAGTTTTACATTCCCAGTTTTACATTTTCCCTACATCTACCGATCGGTTTATATGGCAGCTATATGATATCGTTGTCCATAAATTCTATACCAAAATTCTGAACTAATAAAATAAGCTTATATCTCAGGGTAGATAAAAATAGGTTGAAAAACAACGAAGTTATAATTTTTTTCTATTAATTTCAATATTAATGAAATTAAAAATAATTAATGTTTTTTTTTTAATCAAAAAAATTTGTAGTATGTATTATACCCTTGCAGGGTATTATAATTTCAGTCAGAAGTTTGCAACGCAGTGAAGGAGACGTTTCCGACCCTATAAAGTATATATATTCTTGATCAGCATCAACAGCCGAGTCGATCTAGCCATGTCCGTCTGTCCGTCTATCTGTCTGTCCGTCTGTCCGTTTCTACGCAAACTAGTCCCTCAGTTTTAAATCTATCTGAATGAAACTTTGCATATAGTCTTCTATATACTCTCAATGCTATATATGTCGGAACGGGCCGGATCGGACGACTATATCATATAAATGCCATACAAATGTTCAATAAATTTTTAGAAAAAAAATTAAAACTTTGCTGTTTTTCAACATTTTTGCACCATTTTTTAGATATGACCATTTTATATTATTTCAGAATTTCGGTAAAAATTTCATGAAAATCAGATGACTATATCATATAGCTGCCATAGGAACGATCCGGAAATTAATAGAAAAAAATTACAACTTGTTTGTTTTTCAACGTTTTTTCATCTCCTCCGGGATATAAGCTTATTTTATTATTCTAGAATTTTGGTATTAATTTCATAAAAATCGGACAACTATATCATATAGCTGCCATATAAACGATCGGTAGATGTAGAGAAAATGTAAAGCTGGGAATGCAAAACTGTAACTGTCAAACTGTAAACATAATAAGTATAGGTAAAATGTAGTGAAATAATATCTGCAAGGGTATACAAACTTCGGCGTGCCGAAGTTAGCTCCCTTTCTTGTTTTTTTGTATAAAAAATAATTTTTATTTTAAATGTATATTTTTTGTTACTCAAACCAAGTGATTTTTTTAAACATAATAGAAAAAATAATACATTTTAAAATTATTTATTTATTATTTGAAAAATAACAAAAAAAGAAGCTAACTTCGGCATATCTCCTTGAAGTTTGCAAATGTAAATATATAGTTATCTTTTTTTCTCTAAAAATGTTCCGAGATATATGATATAGTGTATAGTAGTAGTCAGAAAACTATCTGCAGTTTCATTCTGATAGCTTCAAAATTGACGGCTAGATCGAATCGGTGATGCTGATCAAGAATATATACATATATAGGGTCAGAAATGTCTTCTTTAGTGCGTTGCAAACTTCTGACTAGTATAATAATACACTGGAAGATTTTAAAAATAATAATAATAATAATTTACGGTCCCCGTTTCTTTTACTTTTGACGTCCTTTAAAAATGAAAACCCTAATAAAAAAGGCTTACCCCATTCATATTGTTTAAAGGGGGATATATATGTAAGCAGTCAAAATTTAGACATTTTTCGTGAATTTTTTAATGTAGGAAATAGTCAAGCAATCTTCTTGAAACTTAGGAGATAGTCAAAAGTGGAATCGGAGATTATACAACAATTTTGTTATAAACAATATTTTACAAAATGGCGGACCTATGGAAAATAAACAAAAATAAACAAAAATTTTTTGTATTCATTACATGTTTACCTTCAATTTGAACCTATAAAACCAAAAAGAAATTATGACAAAAAAGTAAAATTTAGTTTTGCAGGGAAAATGCTATTTTTCGGGAATCAGATTTCACTTCCCACCCTTTTAAAAAATAGTAATTCTAATTTTTATACCCTTGCAGGGTATTATAATTTCAGTCAGAAGTTTGCAACGCAGTGAAGGAGACGTTTCCGACCCTATAAAGTATATATATTCTTGATCAGCATCAACAGCCGAGTCGATCTAGCCATGTCCGTCTGTCCGTCCGTCTGTCCGTTTCTACGCAAACTAGTCCCTCAGTTTTAAAGCTATCTGAATGAAACTTTGCATATAGTCTTCTATATACTCTCACTGCTATATATGTCGGAACGGGCCGGATCGGACGACTATATCATATAGCTCCCATACAAATGTTCGATAAATTTTTAGAAAAAAAATTATAAATTTGCTGTTTTTCAATATTTTTGCATCATTTTTGAGATATAGCCATTTTATATTATTTCAGATTTCAGGTAAAAATTTTATGAAAATCGGACGACTATATCTTATAGCTGCCATAGGAACGATCGGCAAATGAATAGGAAAAAAATTATAACTTCGTTGTTTTTCAACATATTCTTATCTACTTTTAGATATAAGCTTTTTTTATTATTTCAGAATTTTGGTAAAAATTTTATGAAAATCGGACAACTATATCATATAGCTGCCATATAAACGATCGGTAAATGCAGAGAAAATGTAAAGCTGGGATTGTAAAACTGTAACTGTCAAACTGTAAACATAATAAGTATAGGTAAAATGTAATGAAACTCTGTTTTGTGTGTGTTTTCAGCATTTAAATCTATAATATAAACATCAAAACCAATCTGCAAGGGTATACAAACTTCGGCGTGCCGAAGTTAGCTTCCTTTCTTGTTTACATAGTTTTTTGTGAATCGTGTCCATAGCATAGGTAGAAATGCAAAAATTAGAAGCTAAGAAAAATACATATAAAGTTTTTGATGCGCCCACGTTAAAATTTGTATACCTTACGTGCATACTTGATTTGAGGCACTTAAAGTTGGAAATCGATAATGAAACTTTCACAGTATATTATTTAAGTAAAAAAGTATTTATAAAAAAAATTTGGATTACATGATATATACATCCATCCCATTTTTTTTTTTTTTACTGTTCTATACATTTTGAGCCTTTTTTTTTCATTAATCAAACTTTTTTTTTGAAAGGAAGCAAATGAGAGAGCGGTAGAGGCGGTTTTGACACGTTTGTCGAATGAGAGCTTGGGACTCGATAGAAGTGGAAGTTGATGAAATGATTATGAATTTGGTCTATTAATGACTTGTGGTACTGCAGGTTCAGAATTACGTTAATATTACCTGGGAAAGTTTTGATTTGGATTAAAACTCCATGTTGATGACGATAAACTTAATGGCGGCAAGTCAGTCGGTGAGTTTTTGCCTGTAGTTGTCGTTGTAGTATTGTTGAATAATATGTTGTCAGCATCTTTTGGCGTCGGATTGATGGATAATGGAGATCGTGCCACGCTACCAGGTGTAATGCTGGGATCATCTTCTATGCTCTTAATCTGAGAACCCTTAGAAAGCAAACATCTGCTTGGGATATGCTTTGATTTTTTTATAAAGTGTTGAGTATTACCTTCCACGGTTTTCCCGGCTCGAACTCTTGTACCAAATCGGTGTAGGCAGTTGCTGCTGCCGCTGCTGCTGCCGAGCTTGGCTGCTGATGAGCAACTACTGACCAGTCTTTATTCTCATTATCGGATGTGGGATCGGGCCAACCGTCTGCAATGTTGCGACCAGTTGACCAAGTACTAAATAACAGAAAATAATAATTAACAAGTAGTAGCCAGTTATTTTGTTTATCTTTTTTCAATTCTCAGCTCAGCGATTTTATTTGTATCATTTAGAAAGTATTCAAAGGAGTTTAAAACTTTTTACACTCACCCATCATTTTGTAAGCCCAAAGAGCTAACATTGCTTGAATTACTTGTCAAATTTTGCTTCGTGGCACCGGGAGCACGTGAGAAATCCGAACTATCCGGATTTATAATGATATCCTTGTCTAATACTGGAAGCTTCCATTGATTTAAACGGGATTGTTGATTGGACGCACCTTGATAGCCACCAGATGGCTGTAAAAAATTATTTTCAAATTTCTGTATAATTATATAGAATTTTTAATTACCTTATTTATATTGAGCTCCGTAAAATTACTTTGCAAATTATTAATTGCGTCATGATTTCGTAGATAATCATTGTTAGAAGTATTCAAATGTGCCGAAGGGTGTTGCTGCTGTTGTTGCTGCTGTTGTGAATTTGGTTGCATATTTTGCTGCTGTAGTTGTTGTTGCTTAACATAAACTGCCTGTTGTGCATTTATTTGGTTTTGTAAATTTTGAATTTGCTGTTTGTACTTGGAAATGGCTACATTAACCGCCATTGGATTTGCATTTCCGCCACGGGCCAACGACTGCTGGGCTGCTTGAAGGTGCTAAAAAATAAATATTATGTGAATTTGCAAGGGTTCTTTAGACTCGAGATCAAGTTTGATTGAATTTTACAAAATCTAAGTCTCGACTCTGACCAAAAACAACAAAAGGAACTTGTCATCAGACAAGTAGCAGCTGTGGTTGAGGTCGTTTTATTGACGCTACTAAATAATCAGACCACTTGCTAACTATCACTAATTTTCTTGGTATTATTACTCTACATTTGAACTTGAACCCGTTAGAAATTCTAAGCTTTGATGCGAGAGCAAAGGCATACCCGAAAAATCGGCAATAGTCCTTTTTATTGTTTTTGAACCTAATAAGAATTCGAAGCCTCTTTCAAAATCCATGTCAGTGATCGTAACTTTTGTAAGTGGTGTAACTGTTATACAGCTGTTATAATTCGTCCTATTGAACTTACTTTAATATTGCTAAGTAGTTGATTCAACAGATTCAATGTCGCTTGTGTTAGCGGCTGTGTCAATATCTGACTGGATATAAAGCCACTGTGAATGGCCAATTGTATTTGCTGGCCAAGCATTCGTATCTGCTGGCCCGATGGCTGTTGATTATTTGTATTTGCCGATGTTATATTAACAGGAGCTACACCTGCCCCTGCTCCTGCTCCAACTCCAACTCCTGCTCCTCCGACCACTCCTGCAGCACTTGATGTATTCTGTTGGCCACCGAAACCCACAGATACCACCGAGGATACCGCATTACCAACAACCGATTGAGGGACAAGTGGTCCTCCGCCTTGATTTAAATACTTTTGCACTTGTAATGCAGTCATATTGTTGGCATTGTTGTTGCCACCGCCAGTAACAACTGTATTACCCATATTATTCATTGGATTATTCTACAATAAAAAAAAATACAAAAATATTTAGGGTAAAAAATAATAGTAACCAAAAGAAAAAAAAAATCAAGCTATGAACAATTATGCAAATTTAGGTCATTTATTGAACTTACATGTGAAAATCCCATTGAAGGCTGCTGTCCTCCACTGCCAACAACTGGATATCGTCCAGCGAATCCGCCTCCACCACTCCCTCCTGTCGCTGAGCCCGAGTGATCAGAATAGGCGGATCCGACAAGCCCGTCATCGTGTTGCTGCTGTCGCCGCCACCCGTCCATGACCAAAGATGATGATGAGGATGTTCCAATACGTAACATATCCGCTGCCTCCTCAATATTCATATTCGCTGTGATTAATGCCCGTTCCACATCCTCTTTTTTGAAGCCATTCTCGACGAGTATTCGATACTGTTTGCTTTGCTTAATCATATCCGAATTGATCACATTAACCATTCCAACGAGCTTTTGTTGTTGTTGAGTTTTCCCAATGATTCCACCAACACCAACACCATGTGGATTCCAATCATTGCCGAGTTCCACTACACCATCGATAGATCCTACACCGGCACCACTCCATCCGGATGCAGATGCCTTGCTTGGCTTGTTGTTGCTTCCCCAATCGCTCCAAGATTGATTACCCTTCTCATCTGACCAATTGTTCCCAGAGGAAACACTACTGGTTGCGCCATGGCCATCATCGCCCCAAGTATTGGTCACCACCCCTGGAGGATTTCTAACGCCACCGCCCTGCATCCACATATTATTACCTTCCGGTTTATGCTGTGCTGCTAATCGAGATTGGGGTCCACCTACATTGGTCATGGGATTGGCACCTACTGTTGGAACATTGCCACGCATTAAGTGGTTGCCACGTCCACCAATTGAATCCGTCATATCCTTCCAATGGCCACCGACGCCGGAAGCAGCAGCGGTGACAACACGACCTTGCTGCTGCTGCTGTTGTCCCCACAAGGAGGTTCCATCATCATAGTTGGGAATACTTCGTCTCTGTGGCGGTGGCGATGGCTCTTCCCATCCAGATATCTGCTTCGATATGTCTTTCACAACGCCAACGCCTTGGGTGGGTGGACCCCACTGCGTGGCTATATTGCTTGATACAGAATTGGTACCAGGACCTCCTCCTGCAGCTGTGGTTCCAACTCCAGCTGGAGCTGCCATTTTATTCAAATTTTGCATATTTTGGCTATGCGAGATTTGAGCATGGTGTCCCCACATTTCGGAGGTGCCATTAAGACGACCAGAGATTCCTCGGGGATCACCGCGTATAGGATCACGCATGGGATCAACAATCATGCGAATATCACGAGGATCGTTGGAAGATGCTCCTCCTCCTCCACTCCCATTGCCGCCACGATGATCCACCACCACACTTCGAATATCCATCGAACCGGCGCCAGCGCTGTTTCCCCCACCACCTCCTCCAGGCAAGGGACGAATTTCACGAGGATCGCCCCAACCGTTCCCTGTGTTGGTAGCATTGCTTCCGCCGTTACCGGGAACGACTCCTGCTGGAGTTCCTGCTAGGTTCCCAGAGCCACTAGCACCTATATAAGGACAAGAGGGTCAGGTTTTAAAATTTGTATAGCCTGTTCATTAATTCTACGCACTTAATATATTCTATTCATTCTGATTATAAAAGATTAAGTATATTGCGTGTATTTATGATTACATACCGCCTGCTCCAAGTCCGACTCCGATCACATTTTGGCCCCACTGCGGTGGTCCGCCAGATGAGACAACAACACCACTGGATCCAACATTAACTCCACCACCACCACCACCTTGATTCACGACTTGGCCTATTGTCGGTCCAGATCCGGAGACGTTATTAATTCCCGATGACCCGCCCGTCCAAACACTGCTACTGTCCGCTCCATCATCATCTTCACCCCAAGTTCCGCCCAAGTTGGACGATGGCGTATGACCCCATGATGGCTTTGGAACTTGTTGAGCCGTTGGCTGACCGCCATTTCTCAAATTGGACTCCCACAGATCGGTGCCATTGTTAATGCTTGGCTTCCACATGGGCGGTCCTCCAGTTGCATCCTTATTGGTTGGTTCTGGCGAACTGGGTACTTCCCAGTTGGTATCCTGATTGACATGCTGACAACCCCAGCCATCTTGGGAAAATAGTGCTTCGCGCATTGTGTTAAAATGCTCCAACTTCAACTGCTGATCTTTTGGTTCATCAACTATTCCAGCCTTAAATTGGTTGAAAACGTCATTATAGATGGCAATTGCAATTTTTCAAATGAAAACTCCCAGAATGTTTGTTCCTTATGCTTGGTTTCTCTCTTTTCAGAGTACTGTTTTTTAATAAATGGAAGAATATCAAAAGGAATATTAATTAATTATTAAATTAAATTGTATTAATTCAGGCATTATTTTATTTTAACCTAAATAAAGAAACGTAAACTTAATTTTTAAAATAATGCTTAGAATTTTACTATTTGTACTATTGAAATATTTATTGATTTAATACGTTATTTAAGGGTATGTTGTTAATAGGGGTATTACAGATGGAAAGAAATATCTTGTAAACACTTGCAATATGAAATAATTCGCTCTGTACATATGTACTTACTTACAAACACATATATTTAAAAACCATTGCATACACACACAACTATTTTCGGTACATACATACATACCTACACACACATTATTATATTAGGCTTATTTGACAACTCTGGTCACAGTCGCGTCATTGACGCAATCAACCTATTTTAACACTACCTTTTTTTTAGGAAATATACATATGTATATATGTATGTAGTTATGCATACATTTAATATTTGCCTGTAAGCATATTAAACATATTCTTAAGCGCACCCATTTACTAAAATACTAATTAACCACATTTTTCATCACACTTATAAACATGTGTATTTGTACATATATATGAATACATTTCTGTATACGTCTATGTAAATATACACATAAGTCAATTTTTTCTATTAACTTAGTATATTTGCGTGTCGCTGCTATCACATACTTACACATATGTACATATACACAAATACAAGCGAATAACAGAAAAAAAGTGAACAAAATGGAGACCGAACCAAAAAAAATTAAACACGGCAGTTAAATACGGTATAACCAGCTTATAAATTAACAGTATCGGAGTTTTTTCAATATATGCATAGAATTTCTGTGCTTAATAATCCAAACTATGTATAAGTTGCTATTTTCTCAGTATAAGTTAAAGGTGTACATATGTATGAATGTATGCACGCCTGCATATACATATGTACATATGTAGATGTGTATACAGGCAAGCCACTTTAGACGATTTCACAAAGTGTGTATATGTGTATATGTATGTAAGACATACATACACAAACATCCCACAATCAATACGTTTTTTCACAGTTCATAGGGTTCATTTTAAACTTTTTATGTTTAATATATTCCTTAGCAATGAAATCGAATTTCTATAAAATACTTTTACATTTTTGATGTAATTTCAAGTTTTTGAGGGTTTACGACGGGGACGGTACAAGTTACTAGTGTTTTCAACGAAACGCGCACACAGATATGATTTTGCTTGCAGTGCTGCCACCTGGTCGACAAAAAAGCATTGAAGTGTTGTAATGTATGTACATTGTAATAGTCAAATATATAATATTACTTTTTGTTTACACATAACTAGATTATTTTATAATAAGAAATATTTAATTTCCAATTTGTCTTAAAAGTTACCAGCTAGTAATACATCATTATGTAAAATATTTGAAGCGTGGCAACGCTCTTGATTTACGAGTTTTGTACACACTACTTATGAACACCATTAACAATACTCGAATATAACGAAACTTTATGAACGACTATGTGCACATCAGAAACAAATAAGTATTCGTTATTTGGATTTGTTTAACTCATTTTGAAAATATATATACATAATAGGTTATGTCTGGAAACCAAATTCGCATGTAGTATACATACACATGCATACTTTCCTTTTTAGTGTTTGTATATTTAGTATACGACACAATACTAACGAATAAGTAATAATATAGTAAAATTAACTAGATCTGGTCGTGGAAATAAGTTGAGTACATGCCCTCACAAACAAACGCACAATCGCTGCAATTAAACTAAACTATATATGTATCTTTGCTCTAAAATAAAGGCAACTTGAATCCATGCAAGTGCTTCCTCTTATTTAAACCGATATATTTTTAAGTATGTAAATATAGTGCAGTGTATCGATAGCTATCGAGTTAGCAGTTTCAGGTCATATCGTCTTCAATTTAAAGCTGGTACTAACATACGAAAATTTTTCTGAAAGCAGCAAGCCTATGACATTGCAATCATTAATTAGCTATTTCATTGAAAGAGACAACTATATGTGTAATTTTGCTTGGATTATTTTGGTGACTACGGTCACACCGACCGTAAAGGGTAAAAAAATTCAAAAAATATATTAAAAATATTAATAAATATGGCATTAAAATGTCCTTTGTGGATTAAATTCCACAGGGTTTGCATTTACTACTCCATAGCAGCAAAATTCATAAAAATATTGCTATGCTATTGCTACCGCTCTCGCTTTGACGAGAGCCGTAGCAGAGCCGTAGCAGAAGATCGGCAAAGCCTATGCTCTGCTATGCTCGTAGTTTTTTCGCTTCAAAAACTACGCTATAGCTATAGCAAAAAAATTCAAAAGCAGGCTCTGCGTAGCCGTAGCCGTAGCAAAAAATTGAGAGCGAGATGAGAGCAGAGCAAAGAGAATTTCGTCATATGCTACGGCTGTCGCGTGCCCCTGTTTCTATCTCTTTCTGTCCTCCTGTGTTTTGTTTTTGTTTTCTGCTGCAGCGAGAGCCGTAGCATATGACGAAATTCTCTTTGCTCTGCTCTCATCTCGCTCTCAATTTTTTGCTACGGCTACGGCTACGCAGAGCCTGCTTTTGAATTTTTTTGCTATAGCTATAGCGTAGTTTTTGAAGCGAAAAAACTACGAGCATAGCAGAGCATAGGCTTTGCCGATCTTCTGCTACGGCTCTGCTACGGCTCTCGTCAAAGCGAGAGCGGTAGCAATAGCAAAACGAAATACTACGGGAGTAGCGTAGTTTTTCAAACGCTGAAATTCCATATTATGGGCTTCCCCTTGACAGCCCCTATCAATGCCACCTTTCTCCTTCAACTTTCCCTCCATTAGGGGTGTCTAAATAAATCAAATGAATTATTTAGACAGCGCGATATCAGCTGTTGACTATCTTGATCTGGCAACGCCATTCAATTTTCGCAGGCTTCATTTTCGTCGTCAGAGTATCGGAAAAAACGACGTGTCTAAAAGTTCTTCTTCTTCTTTTTTCGACACCGTTTTTTTATATGGAGTTTGGCCGCTGTCTAAATTTATACAGCGGATTTTTCTCGTCAAAGTACTAGGCTTAAACGGTAATAGAATTATACAGCGTTTTACACAAGTGCGAGCAATAATCTATCGATTATCGCGGCAATGAAGTAGCTGCATTACAATAATGCCCATATGATACTGTAATGCAGTTTTCATTAATTAGATACTTCATTAGAACCTTGAAAGAGACCACTATATGTGTAATTTTGTGTAATTTGGCTTGTATTTTGCTTGGTTTATTTTGGTAATACGACTACGGTCACACCGACCGTAAAAGGTAAACAAAAAAAACGGCCGCCATTCGCGGCGTATTACTATGAATTTCTGAATTCCTCGTCGAAGTATTCTTGCATAAATAAATGCAGAATCGTTTAAATGTATGTTTTTAACCTATGATGCTTAAAATTTTTTAATTATTACCAAAAAAAAATTTTAATTAATTTTACACCGCAAGAACCTTGCCACCGCAAAACATATTATTTTTCCTAATTTTCTAATAATTTTTCAGTTCAAAAAACCAGCGAAATTATATAAAAATAAAATTCTCATTGTGAGACCATACTGTCTATGAGCTGGCTAAAACATTTTTCAATTACAATTTTCTTCATTAAACCCGTATTTTGTTATCGAGTATCTACTATTATTATGTAGATCTATCGATTATCGCGCCAATGAAGTAGCTAATGCATTATTCTAATGCATTATTCTAATGCATTAGAGCGCCATATAGTCGTCTTGCTCGCACTTGTGTAAAACGCTATAGCGCTGTCAAATCTTTAATGAAGTCTCTAATTAATGCGGCAGTGTCATGCCCGTATAATGCATTAGCTACTTCATTGCCGCGATAATCGATAGATCTACATAATATATACTAGATACCCGATAACAAAATACGGCCGTATTTTTTGTTTACCTCTTACTGTCGGTGTGACCGTAGTCGTGTTACCAAAATAATCCTAGTAAAATCCGAGCAAAATTACACATATAGTGGTCTCTTTCAAGCTTCTAATGAAGTAGCTAATTAATGAAAACTGCATTAGGGTATCATATGGCTATTATTGGTGTTATTCACCTTTTTATATTAAATTTTTTGTCCTCTGACTATACGGTTAGTCCAGCTGTGTTCTTACGGTACCTTCCCAGGGCCGGGCAACCCTGTGTCGAAAGTTGCCCTGCCGTAGCTACGCTCGATCTCCATGCTCCATACCAGAGATGGGCACGAGATCTAACGGTTTGGGTAGCAGCTCGGCCAGAAAAAAAAAACAACAACAACCCCCAGCGTTGCGACGCATCGCAGCCACGCGCCACACAGAATGTGCGAGCAGAGAAAATACACTGACAAAAACGTTTTGAGTATATCAATATCTTCAGCCATTTTTGCGTGCATTTATGACCGCCTAAGAAAAACGACTGCAAAAGAAATCCAAACGTTTTTTTTTTAGTGCAGAAGTCAACGCCAGCCGCGCAGTTCCCTTTAAAATTGTTGTTGTTTTTGGTATGATGTGCGAGTTCGGTCGCTTGTGTTTTGTTGTTGCAAACTCGGGATCGCGGCGATGTGCTCGCTACCTGCACCAAAAGTCAGTGTGGTTGTTTTTGTAAATCTTCACGGTTCGCTAATCGCGAGGACCGACTGCAATTGTTTGAGCAGTGTGAGCAAATTGAGCCACGGCGTGCCCATCTCGGCTCCATACCCCTGCGCCTGTCGCGCTTGCCTCGAGAAACGGGGGCATTTATGAAAATGGTCAAAATACCACAATCCGCTTCGGACCTCATGCGAGAGATGAAACCCCATTCAATTTCCGAAATCGACGAAGAGGAGTTACGGATGGATGACGAGGCCAGTCGATTTCGATAGGGAATGATGATTAGGAGCCAATGGTCAAGCTGGAAATAACTAATGTCAAATGTGTCACGGACCAGCGACCAAGTGAATTCGCTTGATGATCCCGCTGTAGCTCCTCGCCAGCATAGGGGCATAGGATGGCAAAGCCAAAATCAGGGAAACTGAAAAAATAATGTTGATTTAACTAACTATTTAAGTAAGTCAAAATTCACACCGCCAGATGGGCTGCTGTTACAAAATATACCTTTTCGTGCTTCTAAAAAGAAATGGTATGAAAATGTAGGTAGATCAAAAAAAGAGCCAGCTATGAAAAATTTACGTTGTGGTAGATGAAAAATGTACGCTATAAAAAATCGCCAAACAAATAAAATTATAGCTGAAATTATCCGAACTAACTAATCGAATAACTTAAACGGCATTGGACAGCTAATTGTTATAAAATGTATAGATGTACTGCATAATGAACGCCCAAAAATTCGCCTTTTAAAGAGTATTAAAGTAAAAAATATTTTTTTCGATGAAAACAATTTTTTAAAAATCTTTTTTATTTAAGTTTTTATCTGTATTTTTATGCATTTGCTCAATACATTAAATAATTTGAAAACGAGAAAATTTTTTTTTTCAATATTTTTATTTATTTGAAATGTAAAGCCTAGTACTCTGACGACGAAAATCTGTCTAAATTAAGGCAGCGGAATCGAACCGAACCAGTGTGACCAAAAACAAAAAGGAAAATACATATAACGCCACGTAAATGTACCTTTTATGGCGTTTAAGGCTTTTCTTTGGTCACACTGGACAGCTGTTTGTAAACAAATATTCATAAAAAATATTGAAAATATTTATTCGTAATTGCAGACTTGAGGTCATAGCCGGCTTCGATTTTATAAAAATCAAAGGCTCGGCATTAGCTAAAAACAACAAAAAGAACTTGTCAATAGACAAGTAGCAGCTGTGGTGACGATCGTTTCGTTGGCGCTACCCAACTCATCAGACCACTTGCTAACTATTGCTAATTTTCTTGGTACTATACCTTCAATCTTAGCTTAGACCCGTTGGGAATCGTAAGCTTCGATGTAAAGGCAAAAGCAAACCCTGGCATTATGGACAATAGGCAGATCGGTTAATTTAACCTCTAATCCAATTGAAATGTTAGAAAAAATGTTGTTTTTGCATAACCGTGGAAATCGGTTCGTGCATTCTGGAGTTATGTATATGACCAGGGTTTATATGCAGAGTTGGTTATTTAACCTCTAATCAACATAATTTACATTTCAACTTACCACCTTAAGGACATGTCCTGTTTTTTAATTGAAATGTTAGGAAAATGACTTTTTTTTTTTGTCGTTCTGGATTTATGTAGATCAGGGTCTATAGGCAGAGTTGTTAATTTAACCTCAAATCCGCATAATTTACATAGTTCAACTTACCACCTTTTCTGTTGCAATTATTCTTGAAAAAACCGCTGAAATATATGAGGTTAAGTCCGAAGAAGAGGTCACTAAGCTTGCCTCAAATTCTACAAATTCCAAAGGCTCAGATGCACCATTTGTTTCAGTAAACCATTCAAAAGTGCCCAATATTAAATTAATTAAAATCGGGGACGAAGACAGCCTGTTGATGAATATTCCTTGGCTCAAATGGAACACCAAGTCGACTCGCAGGTGAATACCGGTTTGATAGACACCACCTCCTCCTCGGAGAAGGTCCTCCGCGTGGTACCTCCTGGAAACGTATTACGGTACGGCCAATGCAAGCGCCACCTCCTGTGAATCCCGCACACAATAAGAAGAATAAGAATAAGAAGAGAGAATAAGAATAAGAAGAGAGCCAAGGACGCAAAGGGCGCACCGAGACCGACCACTTTTGTCAAGCCGGCGAAAAAGTTCAGCGAGGTGGCCCGAGACAGCCTCGCTATGGCACTTGTTGATGAGCTCAACGACGATGGGCGCCTTCTGATGGAGAAATGGGAGGAGGTCGAGGCCAGGTTGGCGGAGATGGTAACAGACAAGATACTGTCCGAGCCAACGGGTCGGACACCCTCCTTTGACTCCTCGGAAATGGTTAGAGGCCACCGGGTAATCAGGTACGACTATGAGTTCTTGCAGGACTTCCTGGCGGACTGTGTTGCCAGACTAGGCAACGCATGGAAGGGGATAAGCATAAAGTTGGTCCCCGCCAAGGACATCCCAAGGAGACCCAGAGCTCGCATTTGGTTGCCCAAGGGGCTATCTACCCATGAAAGGGTGCTCAAGACTCTGCGAGCGATGAACAAGGGAGTCGATATGGAGGACTGGGCCATCCTCAAAGCGGAACGGGAAATGAAGTCCAGCCAGCCATACCTGTTCCTGATCAACCAGCGCTGCCTAGAACAGCTTAAGGCAGCAGATAATAAAGTCCGGTACGACATTTGGAAAGCCAAGGTAAAGGTCTTCCTAGACGAACCGGACGATATCCTGGAAGACGAAGTCGAGGACGCCAACAAGCTGCTGGACGACTTGGCAATCGACGACAGCACCCCAACATCACCCTGATCTAATGCCGACTGTCGTTCAGATCAACCTGAAGCGCAGCTCCCACGCTTCAGCTAATCTGGGGGTCCTTCTCCGGGAGAAGGACATCGACATCGGCCTCATACAAGAGTCATGGACAAGGGACGGACGAATCTCTGGCATTGCCATAAAAGGGTACACAACATTGTACACATCAGTGATGGCGCTTTGTGCAAAAATTACTTTCCCGCTTTTCTGTTGCAATTTTTCCTGAATTTTTTTGGCATGGGTCGTTAATAACCAGCTTGACTGCTATGACTTGACTAACATTCTGCAATCCTTCCGTGGAAGATGCAGGACGAAGTGAGAGAGTTTCTCGTTGCGCTCTTTGCCCATTATTTTTTATATTCAGCAGATTGTTGCTTTTTGCGTTTGCGTCAGCCCGTCTCTCCAGCTCGCTTTGGAGCGTTCTTAGGGAGACAGGGACGTTTTTTGCTCTTTCACCCGCCAGTCCGACGCCTTCCTTTGCAAGTTCGTCCGCGGTCTCGTTACCGTCTATGCCTTGGTGGCTGGGAACCCAGTAGATCCTCACTGACGTAGACGTGCTCATCAGTGATGCCAATTTGTCCTTTTTCCGGACAGATCTGTCCTGTTTTTAACGCTTCATCCGGAAAAAATTGAAAATCATCCGCATACCTGAAATCTGTCCTTTTTTTAGATTTTTCATCCGGAAATCTTTCCTTTTTTTGTAAATCTAATATTAATTCTTTTTTTCTAAAATAGTTGCTTTCGCGCTCCAATTTTAATGTATTATTAGCTGTAAAATATGAAACAGGTGGCAGCTGCCATACTTAGATCGATAGTTTGGTAAAAAAAAAATCATCGAAAAACAAGAAAGGAAGCTAACTTCGGCACGCCGAAGTTTGTATACCCTTGCAGATTGCTTTTCATATTTATGTCATAAATTATAATGCCGAAAACAGACACTAAACTGAGTTACATACCATTTTACCTATACTTATTATGCTTACAGTTTGACAGTTACAGTTATACATTCCCAGCTTTACATTTTCTCTACATCTGCGGATCGCTTCTATGGCTGCTATATGACATAGTTGTCCGACTTTCATAAAATGTATACCAAAATTCTATAATAATAAGTAAAGCTCATATCTCAGAGTAGATGAAAATACGTTGAAAAACAACGAAGTTATAATTTTTTCTATTACTTTCCCTATCGTTCCTATGGCAGCTATAAGATATAGTCGTCCGATTTTCATAAAATTTTTACCAAAATTTTGAAATAATACCAGAAGCTCATGTGTCAAAGTAGATTAAAATACGTTGAAAAACAACGAAGTTATAATTTTTTTGATTGATTTCCCGATCGTTCCTATGGCAGCTATAAGATATAGTGGTCCGATTTTCATAAAATTTTTACCAAAATTCTGGAATAATATAAAAAGGCTATATCTCAAAAATGATGGAATAATATTGAAAAACAGCCAAGTTAAAATTTTTTTTCTAAAAATTTATCGAACATTTGTATGGCAGCTATATGATATAGTCGTCCGATCCGGCCCGTTCCGACATATATAGCAGTGAGAGTATATAGAAGACTATATGCAAAGTTTCATTCAGATAGCTTTAAAACTGAGGGACTAGTTTGCGTAGAAACGGACAGACGGACGGACAGACGGACAGACGGACAGACGGACATGGCTAGATCGACTCGGCTGTTGATGCTGATCAAGAAAATATATTCTTTATAGGGTCGGAAACGTCTCCTTCACTGCGTTGCAAACTTCTGACTGAAATTATAATACCCTGCAAGGGTATAACAACTCTATTTACGGTTTACTTGAAAATACTTCAACATTTTGGTCAGAAGTGAAGCGGTATCGGGATTCTGCAGGCAACCCCTATGAGGACGTGGTGAATTTTGCTCTCAGCCTGCTTTCATTGCCATGGTCAAATGCTGAAGTAGAGAGAGATTTTAGCCAAGTAAACTTGGTGAAAACCAAAATTAGGAACCGATTAGAGGTGGATACATTAAATGCCATTTTGGCAATCAGGTAAATATATATATATTTTCAAAAATTTACCACATATAAATTCATGTACATGTATTCTTTCTTCAGATTCGGATTGCGTCACCATAAGTTATGCTGTCATAATTATAACTTGCCTGAGAAGTACCTCCAATTAATTGGCTCCATGGCTACATATGAGGACAGCAATGATGATGACGGGAAAATAATAGAAGATGCCTTAAAACTATTATCTTAATAATAAAAAATAATAATAGTGAAAACAAACTTTTTGTCCTTTTTTTCTATCCTTTTTTAAATATTTGCATCCTTTTTTTCCTGTTTTTTTTCTCAATCTGTCCTTTTTTTTCGAAAACATTTTGGCATCACTGGTGCTCATGCTGTCTAATGACTCCCTGCTTGCCAGTACATTTTTGGAACTGACCGCTGATGGATTGACTGTCTACAAATTGACCGCCTCATGTGGACGGCGAATGCTTCCGCCTGGAATATACTGCAGTGGCTTGGTAGCTTATACGACAGCCTCATTTCAGGCCCGCTCCAACTCCTCCATTCATCTTGGAGCTGTCTGTGTATATATTGAGGTATTGAGCATGGTCCTGGCCTAACATCCAGTCATTTGGAATACTGTTGTGTTTACATCCGGGCACGTTCTGGGTAACATGTAGTCAGATGTACTGCTCATGTCTCGACCAATTAAACTGTGCCCGAATTCTTGTTGCAAAAAGTTTCCTGATGCAACCAGACGTTGTACCGCCTTTCCAGTAGTCAGTTGCGCTTGGATATCTAGGGGAAATATACCGATTATGGTTTCGAGTGCTTTGGTTTTGAGCGTTGTTTCCATGACCGAGCTGAGGGTTATTTTTGGTGGTTTCCTCTCGAATCTCTTGATTAGGTCGTCTACCACCAGATTCTAAAGGAGGGGCGACAGAACCCCACCTTGCGGCGTGCCTCTGTTCGCTCCTCTCACCATGGAAGCGGTGCCCCAATCTAGTACACGCCGGCAACTTAGAAGATTTCTTATCCACAAGTTGATAGCGGGGGGCGTGCTGGTCGCTTCTAGGTGGTCCATGATTGCATCCGTGCTAACGTTGTTGAATGTCCCGGATATGTCCACAAACACTCCGAGTGCATATTCCTTATTGTGTAGGGCTATCTCAATAATGGCTACCAACGAATGTAGTGCCGTCTCCACTGATTTCCTCTTCGTGTAGGCGTGCTGGTTGGTCGACAGTAGTCTCCCTACATCGTTCCTGATGTATAAGTTCTGCAGCTTTTCTAGCGTTTTGAGTACAAATGAGGTGAGGCTTATCGGTCTGTAATCCTTGGGGCTTACGTGGCTGCACTTTCCTGCTTTGGTCAGGAAGACAATCCGTGAGGTCCTTCATTGGATAGGGATATACCGGTGCTTAAACAAGCTGTATATATTGCATTAAAGCCATGGGGTGATCACTTACTTGGTCACCTGCAGCATGGCTGGGAATATTTCATCTAGTCCTGATGCTTTTATTCTCGCAAAGGAGTCTATAGCCCAGTGGATTCTACTAGAGGATATTAGATCTTTTGGGAAATGCTCTTCTCCAGTTACTAGGTCCTGGTGCTTTTTTGCATCAGGTACCTCAGTCCATCCTGGGAAATGCGCATGCATTAGTGCTGTTAGGGCCTCTTCGCTGCCCTCACTCCACTGTCCGTCGTCGCGTTTGAGCTGACTCTGTATAGTTGGCTGCTTCGATAACAGCTTCGGGAGTGTAGTCGTTTTTGGGGCGATCTCTATATTGGAGCAGAAGTTATTCCACGAGTTTCTCTGCGCCTTGCGTATTCCTTCTTGTAGTCCCTTGGCAGCACTTTGTTTTCCTCATTTATGATATCATCTTTCGCCTGCTTGGCGACTTTGAAGAATTCTTTGAGTTTGGTGCGTCGGAGTGAAAGGTCCTTATTATACCAGGGTGGCCTGGTCCTCTTTCTCGTGTCCGATATTGGGCATGATGCGTGCTACACATCTAGCAGGAGACGGTCTCAGTCTTGGGTGATGGGACCGCAATGTGCAGAACCATCGAGTCCGCGGAAGCTTGGCTCCCTCTCACAGGGCCTCCAACTGGCAGACAGCTTGCGTCAGCCACTTTATTGTCGGGTCATCCATGCACTTTAGGATTTTGACCCCATTTGCCACCCAGCGCCATCGAACGTATGCATGGGAGCTTCAGGATCTTCCTCCATACCTGCATACAATGACTCAACGAGCCGCGCGTGAACTATCTTCCATCGCGCCTCAGTCATCTTCCCGGCTTCATCGCTTCTGTCAATGAGTGCCACGATCAAATGTCGTTTGGTCACCTTACTGACTTTTGCGGTCTTTTTGGGCTTTTTCGCCATTTGGAGTGGGCCTGCCTCCTTAGGCTCGCGTGTCCACTTGCTCCCTGGTGCGTCCATACAGGCGCTGTCGGCTGAGCGTTGCCTTTTGTTGGCAAGCGTCTCCTCCACCTTGTTGGCGAATCCGCCCTTCGATCTCATGTGGGGGAGTTTGGTGATGTCAAGTCTCCCCTCAGCTATCTTCTTCAAGGCCCAGGTAAGCTTCACCTTCTCCTGTTTAGAGGAGGCATTCATTTATGCCACCTTTTTTTGCGAATAATTAACGAGAGAGAATTATGCGTGTGTCAGAACGGTGTTAAAAGGAAAGCCGAGAATGTGGTTCGATTTTAAATGCGTTTATTATGGTAGCAAGAGCGAACGAGCTCCTCCGACCCAGCGATCAAAAGCGAATGTAAATGATGAGAACGCGTAAGTCCGAGAGAGCAGCGAGCGCAGTCGCTTATCTCGGCTTATTTTTTGCAAAATAGATAATTGGGAGCTTTTGTTTACATTGTTGTTGTCAGAGATGCTGACCAAATGGCAAACAATAAATGATTTTAAATTGATATTAAGTTGATTGCTGCGGCTGCTCCCGACAGGTGATAAGACGGCTTTTTCCTGGACCCGATTGCCTGCTTTCCTCCTCCTCTTTGGAGAGCTACACGATCTCCAGGTCCGAATCTGTGTCGACTATGGCACTTGAGCGACTTAGCTTCCCCTGCGTTTGTGTTTTTGCGGCAGTAACTTTGCAACTTACATGACCTGCTTTTGTCACATCTGAAGTGTAACCGCTGGCGATACGCAGAAAGAATTGCTCCCCCAGTGCCCGCCGGTGGTAGCGGTCACGTCTTCCACCGACGTTTGGGCTGACATCCCAGCCCTGGTTTCTTTCTTTAAAATGAAAATACATTGAAAAGCACCGAAGTTAAAATTTTTATTCCTATTAATTTGCTGATCGTTCCTATGACAGCTATAAGATATAAAAGTCCGATTTTCATAAAATTTTTACCAAAATTCTGGAAAAATATAAAATGGCTATATCTCAAAAATGAAATGAAAAATATTGAAAAACAGCTAAGTTATAATTTTTTTTCTAAAAATTTATCGATCATTTGTATGGCAGCTACATGATATAGGTGTCCGATCCGGCCCGTTCCGACATATATAGCAGTGAGAGTATATAGAAGACTATATGCAAAGTTTCATTCAGATAGCTTTAAAACTGAGGGACTACTTTGCGTAGAAACGGACAGACGGACGGACAGACGGACTGACAGACGGACGGACAGACAGACTGACAGACGGACGGACAGACGGACATGTCTACATCGACTCGGCTGTTGATGCTGATCAAGAATATATATACTTTATAGGAAATCGGAAATGTCTCCTTCACTGCGTTGCAAACTTCTGACTGAAATTATAATATCCTGCAAGGGTATAAAAAAACAATGAAGTTATTTTTATACCCTTGCAGGGTATATTCGGCGTGCCGAAGTTAGCTTCCTTTCTTGTTTTCCTTTTAATTCCCCGATCGTTCCTATGGCAGCTTTAGTCGTCTGATTTTCATAAAATTAAAACCGAAACTCTGAAATAATATAAAGTGCCCATATCTCAAAAATGATGCAAAAATGTTGAAAAACAGCCAAGTTATAATTTTTTATTCCCCGGATAGCTATGGGCCATATTGGCCTATGTGTGGCCCCTCGAGGGCCGTCCGGTTTAACCTAACCTTGTATGACAGCTATATGATATAGTCGTCCGATCCGGCCGTTCCGACATATATACAGTGAGAGTATATAGAAGACTATATGCAAAATTTCATTCAGATAGCTTTAAAACTGAAGGAGTAGTTTGCGTTGAAATGGACAGACGGACATGGCTAGATCGACTCGGCTTTTGATGCTGATCAAGTATATATATACTTTATAGGGTCGGAAAAGTCTCCTTCAGTGCCCACTTCAGGGTCAGGTACATCCTTCTCGCTCGGGTCGACAGTGTCGGTGAAACGCCAATGCGCGAATGCACCTCTGATCTTCTAGAGTGAGAACAACTTGTGGAGGCCCTAAGGTCTACCAGTTAGCGGAGACCCTGAGATCTTCCAGTTATCGGAGACCTTGAGATCTTCCAGTTAGCGGAGACCCTGAGATCTTTCAGTTAGCGGACAGGTCTGTGGAGTCCCTAAGGTCTTCCAATATTGAGAAGTTTGTGGAGGCCCTAAGATCTTCCAGTATTAAGAAGTTGGTGGAGGATTTCTCGCGTTTGAGAATGTGCGTTCCGAAGCCGCGCTGCTCGCTGGAATGCAAAATATTTTGCAGCTTGTCTTGTGCGGAAAAAATTGCTTGTTCATATGCCACCAAGCCAAAGCACAAAAGTCCATCGTGTATGCAACATTGATATTCATATATCCAGGAATCTCTTGGTCCACCTTTTCTTGTATTGTTTTGGAGAAAGTGATTCATAATAACATTGCAATCGTTATTTATGCTCTCTCTCTCTGAGTCGGTGTAAATTGAATAAGGGAAAAAGGAACAAGGCTATGTTGTGGTATTTTGACAAATTTGGAGTTACAGTTGTTAAAATTGGGCTATTGAGTTCAAACTTTAGGCTTTTAATTATGTCTATGTCATAGTCATAGTATTCAATCTGGCAGGCTTTCTTTAGCTTATTTAAATTTGGCAAAATGAGATGAATAGTTGGGCGTTTAGAAGCTTCAAGTTTTTTCGACACATTTTCAAAAACTTCCAGAAATCGTACAATTAGACCTAAACAATTAATCTTAATGCCCTCAACTCTGCAGGCCTGATCTTTTTTTTTTTTAATATTTGTTATCTCTACCTAATTGACTTTAATTGACTTTAGCAAGGGTATTCCACCGAGTTGGACAAAAGCTCTTTAAAGATACTC